CAATAACTTAATTAGAAACTTGAATTAAAATACCTTATTTTATTTTGTTATATAGAACTTTATTTTTTTAATTTTTTTTTTTTCATTGGTTTAAAAAAAATTAAAATAATTATTTTAGTTAAAACAAACTTTAGACTTCCCTTTTGACATACACCCTGAGTAGAATTTTTATCAAGTTTTATTGTTTAACTATCACCAGGAGGTAAAATTAGTTAGTAACAACAAGTATATATTAAAATATATCAATAGACATTCCCAGTTTTATTACACTAGACTGTATATCATTTTAATAACTTGCATTTGAAGTAATAAATATGGAGAAAAACGGTTTTAATTGTAAAAAATAAATTTTGGACTTCCCCTTTGTAAAACACCCTGAGTAAAATTTTTGTCAAGTTTTATTGTTTAACTATCATCAGGAGGTAAAATAAGTTTGTAACAACTAGTATATATCAAAACATATCAATTGACATTCCCTGTTTTATTACACTAGATTGTGTATTATTTTAATAACTTGCATTTGAAGTAATAAATAAGGAGAAAAAAGGTTTCAAATGTAGAAAATAAATTTCGGACTTCCCTTTTTCCATACACCTTGCTTAATTTGTGTTTCATTAAGTTAATTAATTTTATTAAACATATAACATGGCCGATAATTACTTCAAAATGTCGCTCAATTCGCAAGCTAATATAGCATTTTAAAGAAAAAGTTAGTATGTTAAAGAAAAGTATCATTTCCTATAAAGTTAGGCAAACAAATATTATATTAATTGTGTAGAACTTTTGATATCACAATATCCTTTTGATACAAGAAAGGAAGACAGAAAGTTGTTACAAGTAGAAGCTGTTTATAGTTGCATCGATAAAAACTAGTATTTGGTTTTCTTTAATAATCAAGAAGAAGATTTTAGACTTATTAAGTATAAATTAGCCATATTGTTTATATGAGAATCATGATAATCGTAATATGAACTATGATGAACCGCATAAAAGAAAAACTTGTTTACTTAGTATTTTAATAAAAGCTATTACTGATTTTTCTTTGGGTGTTATGAAATGTGAAATTTTGGCATGGATACTTTACGAAAGTTTTTTATACCTGTGTTTTTTTGTCTCAAAGAATATCAATAATGGTGCAGCCCCTACTACTGCTTCTTCTACTGAAGTTAATAACAAATTTTGATTTTATTAATGCACTGTGTATAACAAGACATGTTTTTAAATAACTTTTTTAATTACACAATTTTGCAAACAAGTAATAATGATAATTTTTTAGTTCTTTTTGAAGCATTAAAAGTTTTTGTCTCTATAGTAAGAAATATTACTAATCAACACCTTCAAATATGCTTTAAACAAGCCTAAAAATTGCATTTCAAATTATTTTAACTTGGTTATCGCTATTTCTTGCTAGACTATCTGAGTTTTATCTAGATTACTCAGTTAAACACAATGTTTGATTGATACAATTTTGAAGTGTTATAAGCACCTGTGTTTTAATTTCTTCTTTCTAATATTCAGTTTCTTCTAAAAACAATTGCAGAAATTCAATGTTTTGTTATACTAGTTGGGAAGACCAAATCATATGTTTTAGTGTCTTTTGTTTAACCAATGGCTTTATTAGGTTTATTTATTATTTCCAAACCAAAGGCTTTATACTTAAATTTGATCTGTGGGAAGTTTAGATGAATTTCACTTAACTGCCTGAATTTCAAAAATAAACTTTAATCTAATAATACTGAAACATTACAAGCAACAAACCTTTTTAAGTTTGTTATAAATACTATGAGTTGTGTTTTAAATAAAATTCAAATACGATAAAAGTATAACTTCAAATGTTTGAGCTGCTTTTTGGTAAACAGCTATTTTCATAGCTGACATCTTTGTAAAAACATTTAGCATTGTACAGTTATTGCAATAAGTTTTTTGATTTTAAGTATTTATAAAGTTTATTTATAATTAAATATTATTTATAAAGTTATAAAAAAATTTTCACAGCAAAATCTTGTATTAATCTTGTAAATTGTTTTTACAAATCTTGTAAAAAATTTTTATTTGTATATATTATACATTACGACAACTGAGTATTTTCAAAAAATAGTTTTTTTAGTTTGCAAATATCATATTTTGAGCTTTAGTGACCATTTTATCAATGTCACAAGTCATTTAAAGAATAAAAACATTTTTATAAAATACACTCAGTCCGGTCAAAATCCGGTCCCCCTCCCCCTCTCTAAAAAAATAGGGAGGCAGAGGGGGACATTTTTTTTTTGGACTTACCCAAAAAATTTCCTGTACACGCCCCTGCCTTCAAAGCAAAATTTGATGAGTTACTATTATTATTACAACAGCACATAATCTTCCTTATAATCGAACATGAGCTAGCATTGCTAAATGTTCATGGGCTTACGGAACACGCCCGCTTCTGTCTAATTCTACAACAGCTAAATCCTATTTTTTTCGTAAAAATTAGTTTATTAATAATTATAAGAATAGAATTTAAAACTTAAATTATTTTTTTCATGTGCAATTTTATTCCAAATACTAAAGTTTCAATCTCAAATGCAAAAACTAAGCAGATTTCAGATTGTCAGTCATTAAAATGTTTTCTATTTATTCTATAAAAAAAAAAAAAAACGTAATGTCCGGCGCCCCTTCTAATAATGGTTTGTGTATTATATTAAATACACAAATGGTTTGTGTAATATATTAGATGTATCAATGTTTATATAAAGAGTTGCTCATTTTGAACATATAATACCACCTGATCATACCTCATTCGCAAAAACTAGTTTTAAAAGAAGTGAATTTTAATATTAAACAACTTTTTTTTTAATAAACATTGTAAATGGAAATGTATCTTTGATCGATAAAAACATTTTAGTTTACATAAAAGCAAGGTGTATTAATATATGAAACACATATGATGATACATTAATTTTATATGTTTAAAACAAAAGTGAGATCCAAATATCTTTCAATCCCTATTTTAATAAAATTAACCATAAATAATCAACAAAATTTTAAAATAAAATCTTTGTTAATCTAAAATATAATTTAAAACAAACCTCTTATTCAATTAAATACCACGGACCTTATCTGTGGCAAAAATTTCCAGACATTGTCAATAAAAACCAGACTACATTAGAGCAATTTAAGAACGATGTACACATGATACATGTATATGCAAAGTAAACATTCTTTAATAGCAAAATAAAGTAGAAACACACACAAATTTTATAGTCGTAGTAAATACTTTTAAAAAATGTTTTTTAAAAGTATTTAAAACTTTTTGGTGATTCCTAGGGCTGCATTTTTTTCGAATTAATGCTTCAAGTAAATTTCTAATATATAATACAAATTTGTACCATTTACTTGAAGCATAAAAAAGAAAAAAGAAACAAAGAGAAACAATTAATGTGGAAAACGCTTTTTTTCCTGAAAAAATAGGAGAAACGTTTACACATTACGCAATACCCTAACTTGTATTATGCATAAAGTTATAATAAATTAAAAAAAATCTTCATTAGGAACCTAAAATTATAAAAAACCCATGTGCATCATCAGGTACCGGCGGATAGTGTTTCCGTTAACCCAATAGTAATTCGAAATAATTCTAATAATAAAATATTTGTTGTCGAAATAATTCTAATAACAAATTATTCGTCTTCTGTTTATTGTCCTCAATCGAATAACAAATATTATTATTCGTTTTAATTCGATAAATAGATTAAATGTATACACATATCTATTTAATAACAATAATAATAATAATAACAATGATAAATAATTATGATAATAAATTATAAGCAACAGTAATGATAATAATAGTTAAGTAATAAGGAAATAACTTATATAGTCAAGGGCGTAAATAACTTATATAGCAAATGAGCGTAAATGATGTCACTCTAACAGTAATCTGATGCAGTGACACAAAACTTTAAAGAATATAATAACACTTGAAAAAAGAAACATAATATTAAATGACAATAATATTTGTGTATAAATGTTATACTATGCAGATTTATTTATAACGAAATATTTAAAAAGACATAAAACTATAAATAAATAAATAATAACAACGTAAATAAAAAAAAAACTAGCAATAATAAAAAGTAACATTAAAAGAAATAAGTAAAAACAATTGTAATAATTATTAGAAAGTGATTGATGTCACTAAAACAAAAATATGATTTAGAGGGATCAAATTGGAGTTAACCTGATCATATTTTGTTTATTTCATATTTATGATTAAATAATAAAAAAACAAAAACTTATAAATCTCACTTTATTACAAATCTAAAATATTCGTTGTTTTCTTTCGTATTCACGCGCCTATTGTTTGTTAATCATTAGTATGATTAACCCAGTGAGAATTTTAAAAATCGCCTATAATGTTCCGAGGGATTTAATTGTATAGCAATTGTTACAAAAAAGCTAGAACGAGATTCTTGAACTTTGTGGAACTATTCGAATATCAAATATTCGCTACGATATTACGTTATCAAATATTCGTTAGATATTACGAATATCATATATTTGTTAAACTTCATTGACGATGTTGACTAAATAGTCCTCATAAAATCTCGATCAATAAATCTGTGTGCAAAAGGAAAAGGGAGATAAGTTATGAAATGTCACTTTACAGTAGAAGTAATATGAAATTTTTGTAGTTGCAACTTTTTTGAAAAATACGATTTCAAGCCTTATATAACGAATCGAATGCTCATTTTTTGAGGGGATATTTAAAATTTAAACTTTTTTCCTTGATACTAATAAATATTATTGTTCGAATTCTGTAAATAACTTATTTTCGACATTTTTTGACTCATCTATCTTTTCCTTTTGCACACAGAAACAAACTATTCGTTATTCGTTCCAATTCACTTTGATAATAATAAATTTTTGTTACACAAAATAGCCAAACCCCCGGCACAAGTACCGCAAATTTTTGCTATTTTTTTACTTCTGACTGGATTAATAAATTATAAAACAACTCAAAAACCAATAACATTACGTCTAATTACTCGCTTGATAAAGTTTTGAAAAAAATATGATTTAGTTATATAAAACTTTCAAATTATTTTAATTAAACATGTCGTATATAGTTAAGCTTGTAAGGGGCATTTATCTCGCATAATACACTGCTCGTTGTACCATGCAAAACCGGCTGGACACTGGCAGCCTGGTGCACATTTTGTTTGATAGCACAAATTATTGCAGCTGCTCTGACATGGCGATGCGCATAATGAATACTCTCTTCCACCACTGCAAGTAGAATCTAAAAAGAAATATATTTGTAACAGCTTTAATAAGGATTGACATAGTTAACTTTTAAAATCAATGGCGTGTTCATCTTGACCTGTTACTATCAAACATTGTTCATTTAGATGATTCAAAGGCAAGATAGCACTAAATCTGAAATTCAGAAGATTTTCTGCAAAACAAAACAAGTAATGGGACAAATTGAACACACCTAGGGTTTAAACATCTTTCCCCAAAATATATTTAAACATCTTTCCCCAAAATATATTTAAACATCTTTCCCCAAAATATATTTCCCCAAACCACTAAAAGAGTAACTAATAATATTCATACCGCATTTGTCTTTATGTATCCATTTGAAGTTTTGTATCAATTTTAAACAGCTATCGTAGTAGCTTCTAACAGCACCACATTCACATTGTTTTTTTTTTAAAGGACAATAACAAACGTCACTAATACAATCTTGAAAATAAATTGCTGAAGATATTTGTAACTTACATTTTTTTATGCTTTCGTCAAAAAATATTTCATTGCAAATTTTATGAGCTTGGGTTAATTTGTTTCCAACACAGTTTGTTAGCCGATGAGCACTCTCCACGACTCGTGGTTTTCTAGTGCATGCTTTAGAGGTATGCCAATAATCCCCAAACCTTTCCACAGTATCTAATAAAACACCATTTGGCAATAAAAAATCATCTGAAGGATCTCCATTAAAATTCCCACACAAACCACAAACATTATTTTTATACATAAATGGTAATTCAACTTGAATATAATCGTCACCGTCCCATTTTAGAGTTATTCCATCTTTTGTATATACGTGTAAGTATCTTTCAAATTTTCGAATATCAATATAAGGCAAATTTGCGTATGGAGTTCCTATATATTTCCCATTTATTTTAACTTTATAGTTCTGAAGTAAAGAAATCGTAACTCCAAAATAAATAAATGAAACAGATTTTATCCATGAATATCTTTTGGTGTGCCTGTCGTAATTATGGGTTATAATAGCAAAAGATTTTGCTGAAGTACAGTCTTTTACAAAAATGTTACTGCAAAATCCTTGATATGAAAACTTTTTACCATCAAACGTTTGATAGTGAGGATCACCGTAACCAATACAAGCTTCCGTAACTAAAAAAAGTTAGATTGTAACCCGATTAGATGATAAAACAAAGTTAAATATATATGAAAATATATAAATACAAAGATGTAACCACTAGGCAAAGGATATAGAAAGTAAATAGGAGGAGGAGGGGGGGGGGGTTCGTGCTGAAAATTACATTTGCTGTTCTGATTTAAAAAACTTTTAAAGCAAGATTGAAGATCGCTCTGATCTATTTAACTATCGCCTAACAATTATTTTACAATTATTAGTAATTTTAGAATCTTTAGAATAACAAACTTTTATTATTTCATTTTGAACTTTCTCTCTGCCAATAAATATGAATTTTATTAACAAACGTCTATTATCTAACTTTTATTTTAACAGCTTTCTCTCTGACAATCAATACAGATTTTGATTCTGTCGTTCTACTTGTTAACCATTATTATAGTAAGGTTCTTTTGTACATTAGATGGGAGCACTAAAAGAAAGGTTATTGCTTTTGACATATTAAAAGCTTTCAATAAATATTAATCTTACTCTTAACTCCAACTTCAGTCTCTTTTCATAATTGTGAGAAATATTGTTGTCATATTTGAACTGATTCTTCTTATGAAGCAATCTTTCTGTAGTTTTAAAAACACTGTGTCACAAAATGACTTTTAATTCGAACCTCTTTTGCCGAGAAAAAACTTTGGAAGTATGAAAAGCATTTAATTTCTTCGAAAAATTAAAAAAAAATTTGATTCTAGCTTAACAGATGAAGCAACTTAAAAAAAGAGATTACTCTTATTATAGTTCTTAAAAATTGATGTTAAAGGGTAATTTCTTACATATCATATGTTATAATACATTCTTTACAAAGACGTTAAAAGGAATCCTTGTTGTTGTAATCAATCAAACAAATTTAGAAGATTCTTGGGATAGTCCGGATGATTACTCAGCCTTTTGAACCGTTGCCAGTGATGGTTGAAGCCATGATGAATTGATTCTGTAGCTTGCTCTAAATAGATGGCCAGTGAGTGGCGATCATTAAACTATGTCAAATGATAAAAGACAGGATGCGCTTTGGGAGACACAATCGTGTTTGGAAGCTTTAGATAGAAATCCTTGAACTCTTCAATGAGGATGTAATAGTTGTCTTGAAGAACATTTCTAAAGAAAGCATGAACAACTTTATCAAACTTTCTAAATGTGTCAATGAATGGAAATGCAAAAAAGCAAGCATGTTTTCCGGCAAGTTGTTGAAGTCAACATTTCTTACAAGCTTTCTGCAATCATTGCCTGCAAATTGCCCTCCGTGAAAAAAATAATGAATTTTCATCATTTTTAACCACTCTGGCACATTTTTTCACTGCAAACAGATTCTAAAAAAGATTAAAACGCCAATAAGTAAGTGAAATTCCATGGATGGAATAAAGTCCAAGATAAGTGTTCCTTCAGTTAACTTAATAACTGGCTCAAGCACAACATTCTGAAAGTCGCTGGTTTTATTTTTTTGGACACCTGCTTCTTTGAAGCCTGTATGTTCAGTTTGAATGAAGCCAAATGTTTGGAGTTCACCTCTCTGATGAAGTTTCTTTGACTTAATGTAACAATCAAGGCTTAATTTGTTTATGATCTGCTTAACATTGTCATAATTTTCAGAGAGGTTTTCTGCGATAGCAACCAGAAGTTGATGATTTACTTTTGAGTCTTTGGTTTCTTAAGCAAAAGATACAAAAGCAGCTACTCTTTTGCTGCGACTTCAAGTAAATTCTGTCAAAGCATTTCTTTTGTAAAATTATGTGGAATACCTCTTCCAATCAGTGAAAAGCATGCTGAAAAACGTTTCTCAACAACTGGCTGTTCTTTCGGCTGCCTGGTTGTGTTTGTTGTTCCAATCGGTTGATGGCTTCCAAACTTGGATTTTTCCACATAACAAATCATGTAACCACATGGTAATTCTCTTATTGCAGAACGAATCATTATTTTTTGGCAGTGAGAGAAGTTGAAAACCTTCACCATTGTCTTTTTTTCTACGGCCTACTTGACAGTTTTGCAAATAGAAATTGGGTCTTTTTGATCTTCAAAGTTGATAGCTTGACCAAAAACTTCTTGATAGAGTTTAACCAAAAAGTCAGTTAGTTTCCTGTTATCCTTTTTCAAACATAGGAAACAGACAGTTTTTCTGTTGTCATCATGAGGTTTTGCTTGATTCAGCATTTTAAACAGTTTTGCTCTGGTATTTTGCTTACATAGCACAATAAAACTATTCGCAGGCCTTTATAGGAATTTTAAAATTAATAAAGAGCCTAGAAACTTAAACAAGTTGCTTATCTTTCTTAGTAACTTATGTGACAAAAATATACAAATTTTATGTAAAAAATGATTTATTTCATTTAATTAACAATATTGTCAATAGGCCAAAAAATCAAAGTTTTTAAATCTATTTTTCTTTCACGGACGACGATGAAAGATTTCAAAACTAACTCTAATGTACTCTTACATATACTTGTACTATCATATCTCCAAAGATTTTTAAAGGAAAAGATGTTCAAATTAAAAGTCATTTTGTAACATAGTGAACATTGTAAACATCATTGGATCGGAAAAGGTTTTAAAACATTGTATACATTATTTTCTCTAGCTACCAAGCTTAAGATGGTCGCTGCTCAAGTGAGCTATCGCCACTTTTTCCAACAACCAAAACTCAATCTTGCGTTTTCAGCTTTAAATCACCTTTTTTTTTTTTATTGTTTGTTGATACTCAAAAACTTGAATTCATTTAATATTTTTCTTTGAAAATTCGTACTTTGAAATTATCTCTATCTTCGTGTTTTTATGACAATTTACAGGTTTTTGAATCTTCTATCACTTTCTTAGTTTTTAACTGACTGATTTGCTTTATGTCAACTCCCAACTTGCAGCCTTGTTGGGAGTGAATTCATATAAAAAAAAAAACACCTTGTTTAATCGTTTCTCATAGCTACACGACAGCTAAGATAAAAATGCTTTTTCTTTTACTTGTAAAAGTGGTTTTAGGATATCTTCATCAAAATTGGAAAAAAATGTATTTGAATCTGAAATATGGTTTTCAAACACAAGTGCCGTTAGCCATATAAGCAAAAAGCATTATGTTACAGAAAACACACAAGTTATTTTACAGGAAATACAAAAAGATATTGAAGAAACATAGATTTGGTTATAAAAAAAAGTAAAAGTATACAAAAAAAAAAAAAAATGATATTAAAGATGTTGAAAAACATAATGACCCAGTAATATTTATTAATAAGAAGAAACTGGGACAAAAATAAAAGGAAACTAGGCTGAAAATTGTAAAATAAACTTCTATCAGTTACTTTTAGTTTACAAAAACATTAAAAAAAAAATCTTTTTTTAAACTAAAAGTAAAAAAAATCAAAAACAAAATAAAGAATACAATTATTTTGTTTGCCAGCAAAAGGAAGTACTGAAAATTACAACACTACAGGTTTTGCATAACATTGTAAAAAATATTTATCACTTATCTCCAAGGGTTGTTAACAATACAGAGCAATTGATTGTTCAATTTAGGTAAGTTGGTCATAATTAACGAGCCAAGAAAACCTCATATATATAGATTAAGGCAATATAAGGATAATAAAAAATGTAAGCCAGTGGTTCTCAACCGGTGGTCCATGAGAACTTTTTAGGCAGATCACAAGAAAAACGTAAGTTCTAAATATTTTTCGGTTAGTGAATTTTTATGTTGATGGTTTTTCTGTTTAAAGAAGCAAATTAAGTCGTAAATTAAACATGTAACTTATGCTAGAAAACTAAGTTACACAAAATCTGTGTTAACCAGTTCGACATTAACTGTAGAGGACTTGTGGACCGCTACGAAGTAATAAATGCTATATAATATTCTTTTACCCGTTCATTTTAAATGCTATATAAAAATATTATTCCTTACTGATTTGTTTCAATGAAAGTAATTTTTGTTATTTTCTATATAAATTCGATAAACTCTTATCTCAAATGAATATTTACATTATAGATGCCTTTTATTTTATTTTTTAAATACTTTAGATTAGAAGTAAAAAAAGGTCATATTTAGATGAATGTATAAGATATGGTTTTACCTACATGCTTAAAAAAGCCATTAGAAACCCACAGTGTATTATTTGTTATAAAGTATTAGGAAATGACAATATGAAACCCTCAAAGCTTGCTATTCACTTGAAAAAGTACCATCCTGATCTTCGAACAAAAGATTCAAATCACTGAAGAAACTCTCAAGACCTTTCAAGTCTCTTTCAGACCGTTAAACGTAGTTATAAATCAATAATTAAATTTTTAAAACTCTCAAGAAGTTCAAATCACTGAAGAAACTCTCAAGACCTTTCAAGTCTCTTTCAGACCGTTAAACGTAGTTATAAATCAATAATTAAATTTTTAGCGAAGCCATTAATCAAAATTAATCAAAACTAATAAAAACTGATAAAATTTTTGGTTTATTTCTTACAAAGGTTTATTTCTCTCAAAGTATTAATTTGAAAATCCTTTTAAAATTATGATAAAACAGCTGTTAGAAAATGAGAATTTGATCGCAAGTCATGCGAGAATTAAATAATATTAGTTTGGATTTATAAACAAAAGCTTTTATTAAAAAATACTTGTATTGTATTTATAAAAAAATTCCACCCCTAACCTTATATTAATCCCACCCCCACCCCCATTTATTTGATGTGGACGAAAATTCCCACCCCCTATTCATATCCCCCAACCTGCCCTTATATTAAGGGGTCAAGAGTAAGTTGAATAAAACTGGGATTATTCACCAAACTTAATGATTTTGGTAATTATTTTCCAGATGTGAACCTTTTGAGCAGTGAAGTTCACCATTTTCTTGTGAAAAATGTGAAAGAGAAAGCACAAGAAGAATTTATAATGCTAATGATACCCCAGCTAAGGATCATCTAAAGAATGATACCCCAGCTAAGGATCACTTTAAAATAACACCATTAAATAACTTCTGGTTGAAAATAAGAAATTCATATCCATTGTG